CGGTGAGATTTGAACAGCCGAACTGCAGAACTGCAGTCAGCTGAAGTAGCCTGCAGTGCTGCATTTAACCACTGCGCCACCTCGGCTCTTACAAATGAGCCATTCAGCAAATAATAGTTAAACAAAATACTTAAAAGATACTGTATTACATGAGCCCAGTCTTTACAACAAAAGATCTATTGCATAACATGAACTACAAACAAAAAGACAGATTTACTAAGAAACTTGTTGCCAGTAAATTAAGATGAGTTGTTTTCTTGTTTTGCTTTGCTTTCTGAACCTATTTCCAGTTTCTGGCTGTGCTGCAATCAGTTTGGGTTCTAAATCAAGTCTCATTTTCTTCCTTCGCACATCTCATAAGTGGGAATAACATTTGTGCAGCTTCAAGTGAGGCCTTCAGTGAGACTCAGGATCTCTTCCACAATCTTCAAATTAAACCCTTGGGGGTGCATAAGAAGGCCAATTACCTCCCCACAGAAAGACCCTTACCTGACTAAACTTTGTAAATATCTTTGCAAGCATAGTCAAAGATACAGAGCCAAACAAATGAAGCAATACGGATTGGCCTTTGTTCCCTCTGCTATTTAATACTCAAACTATATATTGGATACAGGAATAAGCAATAATAAGCAAAGACATGCCTGGGGCTGGTGCTTTTATGATGTTTTGTCTATGAAATAGACCTTGCACATATTTTTCTGGGATCACCAATGGAGGGGCAACCCAGAGGAATGGAAATAGGTCTAGGAGATTTGGCTATGGTTGATGTATCTGAGATGCGGAAGACAGCAATAATTGACTATGATCTCCTCTCAAATCTACAGTAAAACATATTCAGTTCATCTGCCAGTTGCTGATTCTCTTCAGTAAGGGAAAGAGATCTGCTGTAGCTAGTGACATTCTTCAGGCTTTCCAGAGGTGGGTTCCGACCAGTTCGCATCTATTCGGTAGAACCGGTTCGTCAAATCTACCGAACCGGTTAGAAGAGGTTCCACCAGTGAACCCGGAAAGCAGGCCACACCTACAGAAGAGGTT